AAGCAGGGTGTCTCACATACACGCTTCTATATATTTATATGCATGTTATATGTTGCAGCTACTTTTTCCCCTCATCAGTATCTGTAACCCTGTGGAGATAGTGGCATTTAAAAAGACACAGCAGGTGGTTAATAAATAGAAGTAGTTGAAAGGGATTTAAGCTAAAGCTTCATAGGAAGGGAAAGCACTACTGCTTTAGCTTGAGAATGATTCCAACTTAGAACAGCTGGAAAGAGCCTCATTTACCCAGCTGGGATTCTTCTTTTTCAAAAAACATCAAACAACCTGTAGAAGCAATCTTTGATTTGTAAAGATTAGTTGGTCATAAATGTCATTAGAAATAGTTTTAAAATCAAATATTAATAATGAGAACTAAAAATAACGATTTTAGCTATGCATAGAAGATTATACCAAACTATAAGACTCAACACATAAGAAGGCCACTCACTTTAAAATCCACCAGTGTTTTAAACACAAAGTCTTGGGGTTTGCAATTGTAAGCTGCTTTGAAGTATATGTCCTGTGTTCCGCAGAATAGAAAATGCACAAGCCTACAATCTCATATTTAAAAAAAAGAGAGCATTCTAGAATCTTCCAAATGCCAAAACAATTTGTATGAACAAAATATCATGACTTTCAAAGTCTGAAACTCTAAGTAGTTACTACCCATTCATCATTCAAAAAAAAAAATAGATTGTTAGAGTAAAAATAGAATAAAGAAAGTAATTCATAGGATAAATGCAAGATTTTAATTTCTAAGATCTCCTGAAAATTTACTACTTTTTAGTGGAGAGCAGTAATAGATTCATGTATTTAAATTGCCCAGTTTTTAGCACCTCCATTTCCTTCCTGATCCTAAAAAGGCCAAAAGAGTATCTGCTCATTATGGCTCATATTCAGCCAACTAATCTGTGCAATTTAGAACTGCCACACTTTGAATTAAGTCTATAAGAAAAAATAAAGTGCAACAAATCATGCTATTGCTATGCTTGCTCCAATCTTGGCACTATTAGTTTCTACTGGTCCCTATATGGGGTTGTCTCCTCCTTTAAATGCTTGAGAAGAAGGTATTAGGGTTACATCTGACAGGTACTGTTGCCTTCTTCACACAGGTCAGCAGAGCCACTGCTTTTCCATCAGCTGGTCCTTATCTGCATCCTCTAGAGGTATGCTAATTTGGAATTGAGCACCAGGCCCATTCTAACTATAAAGAGACCACCCTACAGTATATTAAAAGGTTCACATCAATGTATGCAATTTAAATGTGCATGCATATAATTAACTAGACACATTACCAGTGTGAGCTGCTAATTTGGAATGAGACACAAAAGACTGGAATGTGTGTAGAGGAAAAAAACTTTAAAATTAAAATGACTACATAATGAAAACTGCTTCATGCTGTGTCTACTATTTTCATGTAAACTTAATATAACTGTAAATATATTTTAATGAACAGTAGAAAGAGGCAATTACAAAGAGCAAAGGAGGGCAGCACAACAGTGAAACATCATCAGAATAGCTCTTTGCCTTCATATTAAAAGTGCTGCCTGAAGACAGAGGATGAATTATAACTTCATAATTTCAGCAGAAACATGTTTTCTATATTAAAGACACATACCTATTTGCCAATCTGCTGGCAATGAAAACAGAACACTCGAGTAAAAACAGGAGGAAATCCTAGCTAACAGAAAAGAGAGGAAATCCGAGTTTGACATTTTGATGTTAAAATACCGGATTAGCTTTTTCCTCTTTGGTTAAAATGGCTTTATATTCCCTTAAAGATCTTTCCAGAGTGTGAGTAAGTTCTTGATATTCTTAAGCATCAAAAGTCATTATAGGTATCATACTAAAAAATATATGTGAAATTTTAGGAGTCTTCATTTAAGTGATGTCTGTATCTTGGAACAACTGAAGAATAGATTGCAACTACAAAATGAGTGTGATAAATTCCACTAACTTAAAAATTTTAGGAAAATAATGTAAGACATTTGACACTGATATCTTTGTGTTATTAGTATTATAATCCAGATGGAAGGAGGAGAGGCTAGTTGGAGAATATCCACTGACCATCTCCAGGGCTGGGCCTGTGAGACATTGGAGGTGGGGGTGGAAGGTGAGGGATGTTTTTGTGAAGCAACCAGAAAGTTCAGCCCATGAAATATCCTGTGAGCTCTAATTCTTTAAAGGGGCATGGATTTTGTCAAATATTGGAGGCTAAATAATTTTTAAATCTTTAAATGAAAAATAAGACCTGACGGTAGAAGTCAAGAGTTACTAGAACAATCTTCCTTAATGCATGTCACCTAGTTTGCATACTGAAGAGATCCTATATCTATATATTGAAAAGATCTTACTTTTAAATGTTAGGTGAACAGTTTGGGTTTGGTTAAAAGAAGATGAATAACAACATCAATTATTGTCCTTGTTTTACGGCTATAAATTCAATTATAACAAACCTACAGATTAGGAGGGAATATAAGATATAAGGCAGATATCTTAAAATCCATTTAAAATGATATGGATATAGCATCATTAAGAATTATGATTAAGGATGCAACTGACTGTTAAAACAGGCTGCTTGCCTGAGATGCATCAAACAGTGCATACATCTCCAATTCCTAGTAATAATTCTTTTCCAATCTGACTCAGCATTTGTATGCAATTTATATTCAAAGACTTATGGAATTTTAGAGTATAAAGAGGTTTTATAAATGATCTAATATAAGTCTCTTGCTAAAATGAAGAAACCAACTCAGGCCCAGAAGGGCTAAGTACCCTACGCAGGGAATCTAGCCAGTTAGCTCACTGCTTTTTCTTTCCACCATGTTGCCTTGCAAGTAATAATTCTAGCAAAATAATATGTGTAATAATTACTTAAAAATTCTGCTTTCACTTTCATTTTTCTTTGAATCTTCTTTCCCCAACTTGGAAGTCTTTTGGTCAATATATTTTATAGATTAATTTTAAAAATTGTACATTTAAGAGTATTAGTAAACATTTTCAGAAGACCAAAGTAATGTGTTTGTTTTGATATTTCCTTAATGTGAACAGTGAACTAGGCTTGCTTCATTTTATATCATTTTTCTTAACAATTAGAACCATAATAGAACTTAAGTCCTGTTTTTCTTTTCTTTTCTTTTTTTTTTTTTTTTTGAGACAGAGTCTCGCTTTGTTGCCCTGGCTAGAGTGAGTGCCGTGGCATCAGCCTAGCTCACAGCAACCTCACACTCCTGGGCTCAAGCGATCCTTCTGCCTCAGCCTCCCCAGTAGCTGGGACTATAGGCATGCGCCACCATGCCCGGCTAATTTTTTCTTTCGATATATTTTTAGTTGTCCAATAGATTTCTTTCTATTTTTAGTAGAGACGGGGTCTCGCTCTTGCTCAGGCTGGTTTCGAACTCCTGAGCTCAAACAATCCGCCCGCCTCGGCCTCCCAGAGAGCTAGGATTACAGGCGTGAGCCACTGCGCCCGGCCCTAGAACTGTTTTTATTTTCTTACTCATTCCTTTTAACCAAGGTGAAGCTAAAGTAGACTTTAAAAGCTTATATCCCCTTCTAGTTATTTTCAATAATTGTAATTCAAGGGTAAATATTGCTAATTTCAGAAGAAATGGTTTTAAAGCATACAAACCAAGGGGCATGATTTGCTGAATAAGAATCAGAAAAGACTGTCACAGAATAATCTTTTAATTCCAGAATTGTATTTACAAAAATTTACTGAAGAGCAAAAACTGCAATGTTGACATCCAAGGGTATTAACTGTGATTTGCTGACTCTAGTTTTACATAAACCCGGTCATGTGAGCTAGGTTCCTATGTGATATGTCCCTTTCATCAAATAACTTAAGCCTATTAACAAATGCTTTGATGGTACTTGGTCCACGGAGATTTCCACTAATTGCCCTGTGCTTTTAACAGTTCCAAATACATATTATAATTGTTTATTATAATAATGACTAGAGAGCAGTTGCTTCGTGCCTCGCATCAGGCTAATGAATATTAGGATGTGCACAGAAAGGTCTATCAGTCTACATGCTAATGTAGGGACAAAGCCTCAAAACAGATCCCTTCTCAATGCAAAGTGAAGCACACTAGTCATTCTGGACTGTCAAATACGTAACAGCGGTTATAGGTGAAAAATATGAGGCTTAAAATGCACGGCTAGTTTCAGAGTTCACTGATCGTCAAGAACACCAAAGAACAACATGAAAGAAAAGATATCAAGCCATAATTATGCTGTAAACTTCTGGGGGTAGAAAACCATATTAATATCTTATTTACCCTAGAACCTCCTACAGCATTTGCTACAGTTCAGGCACATGATAGGCATTTAAGAGAGGTTTATGAATTGCTCATGAAAATATTAAGACTCACCATAGTGATTAAAATAATTTCTAAAACTGCAGCAGTTACTTGAATACATGGGAGGCAATGTGGTAAAATGGAAATAACTTTGGATTTGGAACCAGACAACCTAGGGTTCAATCTAGCACCAACCAGCTATGTTATACTGAGCAAGCTGTCTTTGAGTTTTAGGCTCTTTGTCTGTGAAACGGGGATAATACTTGCTTTGCAGAGACATTAGAATAAAATGAAATGGTTATGTCAAGATCACCCAGTACAGTGTCTGGAACAAAAGAGTGCTCAACCTGGTGCTCTTTGGATGGAATCACAAACCTTAAAAAATTAACATCAGAGTATCAATAATCTAAATTTGCAGGCTTTCTTTACAAGCCTTCTGTACCTGGACACATTATGTATAACAATAAGCATATACTTATTAATTTGGTGACAAAAACTGATAGATATGCTTCATTGCAGACTAAATAACTGTGATAAAGCATGATAATCACGTGATGCCAATGAGCAATGTTCTTTTTCTAAAACAAAAAAGTTCTGCCTATTTATTATTCAGTTGTAAAATAATGGCACAGATATACTTTGTACTTGTAAAAAACATATTTTCTACACACTTCTCTACTGTGAGCTCATTATCCTTACCAGTAACTTCCGGTGGAGGAAGGCATATTACATCCAAAAAGTAACATATGATGGACAGTATCCATGCTGGCATGAGGTTTGAAGTCAACTGTTAAGAAAAAAATGATACATGAATGTGAATACAAGTTATACTTCTATGCATAAATGTTATAAGAGATCACATCTTTGAACAGTTTGAATACTTGTATAACAAAGATGTTTCAATACTCTCATGATAGAATGTTCTAGTCATATAAATTATTTTATTCTTTAAGATGAACGTGAGTTAATAATTTAATTTAGCAGGATAGTAAACTATTATATAGCAAAAAGAAAAAAATAATAATAGGCTAAATATTACACACACACACAGACATTTTTTAAAGGAAGATCCCTTTTATAGTGGTGAGGGCATTATGTGGGTATAAAATGAAAGCCCCAGGCTATGTACTCACAATATATTTTTTTTCCAGATCTCAGTAGAGTGCTGAGTACCATAAAACACTGTGCAATATTGCAGTGAAACAAAAGCCACGGTGAGTGATCAAAACATGAGCAAAAGAACTCACAGAACAAATTTATTACCATGTTAAAATAACAACAGTACTGTAGTCACTAAGATGTATATGGAAAACGATTTACTAAGAAAGAAAAATAAAAGCGGAAAATGTATCTTTACAAAAGTACAGAAAACTAAAAGTTACTATCCTGAATCAGCATAGAGTACTTGTTAAAAGGATATTGAAACTTATGCAATGTCATTTCTCTTTTTCTCCTAATAACAGTAGTTAAAAGACATTAAAATAAACTAAAACCAGTACAGAACTAAAACAGAGAAAAAATTTAAATTAAATTAT